TAAAATATCTCTTATCCTGAAGGTCATTTCAAAAATGAATAACATAGCGACACCTCAGAATTGAAAAATTGAAAATTAGTTCGTAAGCTTTTGGTACAGAATGAGCCCCAATTATGTTATTTTTTGTAAATTTTTACCCATTGTTTCCCATTTTAGTAATAATAATTTCTTTTCCTCTTCTTAATCTTAGCATATTTTTCTTAAAATGTGCTAAACAAATCTAAAAACCACAAAAAAAATCCACATATCTCCATTTTTAAAAAAAAAAAGCTGTCGTAAGTTGTGGGATACCTTAATTTTATAATTCTTACGCATTCTTATTTAATATCTTTTCTGTCACATAATATCAAAAACGGTTAAATTAAGAAAAAATCCAAGCAAAGCTTTGATAAAGTATATAGTTAAAAGTCTTCATACGCGGGGTACTTTTCAAAACACTCTGGTAAGTGCAAAGGAATTCTGTATTTTTTTACACTGCCAGGGATTCTCAATTCTAATTTTATTCTTGTAACACACACGGCACCTCTTAGAAGGCTTTTTTTTGTTCTGAGTTAAAGGAATATATCCTGAAAAATGTCTCCATCTTTTAGTCTGCAGCCTAGCTGGGGTGGCACTATATGAAGAACGTCTACAAGTTTTATAATCCGGTGTGTAAAAAAGTGTAACTTTTTTCAGAATTTGCTCATGTCCAACCGGAAGCTACCCAATTCCGATTTTGTTGGTATTGTTGATTTTTATATACAAAGAAAACATATGAATTGTAGAGTGCAATGCCAAACATGTAAACAAAAATATTTTTTTTTTAATATCCTCTCATATATTTTCACATAATCGGGAAACGCGACAACTGTTGATCATTTTTATCAACGCCTTCCATTACATTATTGTATTTAATCCCACAATCTGGTTTTAAAACATTCTCCTTTTCTCCATCTTGTTTCTTTCCCTTTCTCCCCGTATCCACGATCAGGGACGTCTTAAGATTTCTTGAGGACTTGGGCCCCTGCGCAAAAGTAGGTCCTGGGGCCCTACACAAATGTTGTCACCTATGACCCATCAAAGTAGACAGTACATAGCATATATTGTCAAATACTCGTACAAACAATAACCCGAAGCAAATAGATGTGTTTGACTTACAATCCCACAGACCGGGTCGACCGAATACTGCCTTTTGACTGAAGGAGTAATGATGGTGTATGGTGGTAGAGCCAGGCCTATACACGAACCACGGCCATCACATGTAGCCAGTTGACAAATCGTCCAAAATCCCCAGTTTTTCGGAGAATGCAACTGAAAATAACATTTGACTGTGTTGAAATTATTCAAATCACGATCATATTAAAGCTGAGTCGAGAATGAGGCAAGGCCCTATTGTGGCGAGGTGCTGGGCCCGGGCCGGGCCCAGTTGGCCTATGTCTTATGACATCTCTGCCCACGATGTCAGCATTACAATGTCTGCTCTCTCTCTCTCTCTCCCTCTGCTGAGTATATATATATCCCTTTTGTCAAACCATCTCAAAGCTAGTAAACTTCGACTAAACAGACTTCGAACTTCTCCTTTTCTTAGTTTCAATTTTGAAAATTCTTTTGGTATGTTTCTCCTGTTTTTTCGAACGACGGCATTCATATCGTTTTTCAACAAATTTAGGAATAAATTTGGAGGTGAAATAGCAATTATCCAAATGAAACTAAAACTAAAAGTCTAAATTAAATTAATTATCATATTTAACGGTAACTTTAGTAGCATGACGATTGTAGCTCGTCATTGTGCGGTATGGCATGAAAAACCAATGAGTCGTCATTTTACGGGAAAGGGCTAAGTGTCCATGCGTATCCTCAACTTCCCCTTATCGATACCATAATAACATTCCACGCTAAGATAAGATAAAAGACCCCTCATATAACAACACATGAGTAGGACTTTGCTTAAGGACAAGGGAGGGGGGGCACTTCTAAACCTTAACAATCAAGAAAGAGTTTAATCATGTGAGTCGTATTACTTTTTAAAGTGGAATGACCGCCTATTTTGGTCCACACGCTGATTTACCCTAAGTAGAAATTTCTTGCTTTAGGAACCGTTTAGTTGCAGCTTGCATAGTCTTAAGACAATTTGAGGCCCTGGGCTCAGAAAAACCACAAGATTTTTGAGGCTCTGGGCCCCTATGGAAAAGTAAGCTCTGAGATCTTTAAAAGTAGACGGTATGCATTATCAAATACTAGTTGAAGTAAATAAATACGCGCAACTCGCAATCTAAAAACCTAGGCATAAACCGGATAGACCAATGGCCCGTTTCAACTAAATGAGTGGAAAGATTGTTTATGGTATTAGGCCTAGGCCTAGACATGGACAATGGTCATCACATACTAATACAGTCTTACCACTTTTGCCAGTTGACCACAGGCGTAGCTAGTTCTGAGGGGGCCCTGCATCAAACTTCCTTCAGGGGCCCTTTTTAGATATGAGAACTCTATAAGTTGGACTGTAGTTACATATGTTGGGGCCCTGTAGCTTGGGTCCCCCGGATCATTGATACGGCTGATAGGGCGGTAGCTACGCCCCCGTAGTTGACATGCAATTTGAAATTCCCTGTTTTTCAGAGAATATGAACGGGAATAATATTTGACCATTTAAATTATCTGCATCAGGATCTTATTAAGACAGAGTCATAACGAAACGAGGGAATTACCAAGAGTGAGACCCCGGGTCCAGTTGGCCCATGCCTGAAGACGTCCCTGGTCTTACCCTTTTCTGTTTAATTATTCTATTTACCACAAGAAAGGGCCTACTGTTATTCTCTCTTTCAAGAAAATGATGCTGTGAATTTATTTCATATAGTAAAAGAGAATTGATTTAGTTCTTGTAGTACGTCATTTATGTGTTTGGTATTATTGCATGAATTCTGCAATTGCGCTGGTTTTAAAAAGGTTAATCCCAATAACACACAGATATTGAAACACGCCACGTATGTTATTTTCCCTGTGACATTTTATGTAGGGAAAAAAAAAGAGTTCAAGGACAAATGCAAAATGTGGTTGGTGAAAATTAATCATCATCAGCATTGGCTTGACAGCCCTTTGTGAGCCAGAGCCTTCCTCAGAAGTTTTTTCATTCTTCCCTTCTCCCAGCAATTGATCTCCAGTTCTTCACTTTTAGAATGGTTGAGTCCTCATCCCCACAGTCTTTCCGTCTTCTTTTGGGCCTTCCTTTGATCTTTCATTAGGGGGAGATGCATTAAAAATTTCCAATGTTGTTTGTTCTGGAGTCATTCTTACTACATGCCCTACCCATCTCATTCTACTTAGTTTTATGGACTTAATAATATCATAACTATTAGAAATCTTACATATATATATTTCAAAATTATATCTTTTTCTCCAATTGTTATTATCAAGAACAGCGCCAAATATGGTTCGCTGGACCTTCTTTTCAAAAAAGTCTTTAAGATCTTCTCTTCTTTTTTTTATTATCAAGGTCCATGTCTCTGAGGCATAAGTCAAAACTGATTTAAATAAATATAAATGCAGTAATACCCCAAATTCAAGCGATAGGTTAGAGGGAGTGATAACCGCGTAAGTTAAATTCGCATAAATCGGGGTATAATTTTGCACATGAATACACATAAATTGTTTTTATTTAGGATGGAAAATGAAGAAAAAAAATTATTATTTAGGGAAAAAAATGTTTAACAAAACTTTAGATAACACACATACTCAAAGACTCACACAAGGGGCACCATTGAGTACATGTGCTTCATTTTTACCATAGACATTATTCCTCGGTGTTTTTCTCAAAGTTTTTCAATGCCTACTATTAACTCACACTCTCTATATATTTATCTTGGTGGAATTTTAAATCGTTGATCTAAGTAGGAATTGACTTTATATATATATATATGAGAATATAACTCCCCTCCCATAAGAGAGCTTTGTGTACGCCACTGTTGAAGATAATTAGAACATTTCATCTCTTTGAGTCTCGTCTACTCTTAAAACTCAAAACAACATCAGCACCTAATCATTTGCCACCACCCCGACGATTCCAACCGTGTGGTGATTTATACATGCCCAATAAAATCCGGGTCGGTTACAAATCGCAGTATCCCACCACATCACCTGTTGAATCATTTCAACTTTCTCTTACCCCCCCCCTCCATCCCTCCCACACATCGTAATTACACTCCATAACAATACACCCGACATCATTTAAGTTCCTCATCCGTTACATAAAACGAAATAATAACGTGCCCTTTCCCCTCTTCAGGTCTCACCCCTCCATTATTAACCCGACCCGGTACTTTTGAGCAGTCGTCAAAGGACAAAGGGAATTGACACGCCACGCGTCAACTGCAGCTGCACGGGCTGCGAAGGTACAACGATCCGTGCCCTCATGGTGCAGTGGACTATTGAAAGTGGGAATGATCTGACCGCTGTGCATTTTACCCCCGCAGCGGCGCTTAGGGGTTAAAATGTTCATTATTCAACGATTATCTGCAATCCATGCATATGACACTATGAGAAAAAGAAGGATCGATTTGGTCTGGAGAGACGCGAAAAGTTTCGGTTGTTGTGAAACTACGAGTATCTTTGATTTAAATTAGTTCGATTCCGGGTTGATTTTCGAAATCGAGGTTAACCTCTTAATGCAAGGGTGTCAAACTCAAAGGCTGATTTGGGTCAAATAAACAAGGTTTAAGTTAAGGGAACCAGGACTTCATACACATTCAAAAAATCGATTTTTCAATTTTAGTATTAAGCAAGTAATATATAAAAAAATTAAGTCATTTTCTACTTAAATAAACGAAGAAAAATTTTATTTTAGCTACTTTTTATTAAATAATTACAGTTAATATAAATATGCATTTACATAGAACAGAATCACAATGTTAAGTGGCAAAATAGAAAGCGATTTTCCTTTCTGTATAAGGTGTTGAACTATTTTACTTTTTTGTGTGTTTTGTTACTATTTATTCATTCATAAATCACGTTCTCAGAAATTAGGCAATCACAGGTAGGGGATTCGAACCTACGACCTTTGGATTAGCAGTCCAACGCGCTATTCATTGCGCTACAGGGACACAAGGAGCGCTTTTTCTTTTTATGTAGGGTGTTGGACAATTATTTTTGTTTGTTACTATTTATTCATATTTTAATTTAATTAATGAATTAATGTTTGGAAAAATATATTAACATCAAGTGTCATCCACTACAAATTTTAAAAAATGCATTTGAACTTGAATGGATGAATAGAAAATATTTTTTATTAACGATTGAAAATTGGAACAAGATATACACTCTGTCGCAAAAAATATATGCACCCAGAAGAAATTGAGCTACATTCACGAAATTTGGATGCATGTAGTGTATATGAAAATAAACAAATGATTAAAAATTCAGAACAAAATATCATTTTATTAAGCGGTTACAGCTTGCAAAAGGTTAAAAATCAGTAAGTAGTAAAGCCACCTCTGGCAGCTATACAAGCCGAAATTCGGCGTGGCATCGATTTAATTAGATCACTTATGACCCCCTGTGGAAGATCCTGCCATAGTCTTTGCATCTGCGCAGTTAATTCTCCTGTATCTTGGGACGGCTGCAGTTGCCTTCCCAGCGCGTCGCAGACATGCTCTATTGGCGAAAGATCTGTGACCTGGCAGGCCATGGTAGGATGTCATATCCTTGAAGACATTGTTGGGAGAGTCGCGCAGTATGTGGACGAGCATTATCTTGTTGATAAATGGCACCTGGGCGACTTGATAGCATGGGTAAAATAATAAAGATGATCGTGTGTCCCAAGAAATTGTCCCCACACTGTCACACCTTGTGAAATTGCTGTGCCGCTCGACAATAAATGCCGGATCGGACCGCTGGCCGCTGCGCCTCCAGACAAGTTGCGGTGGTCATCAGCACTGAGACTGAATCGGGATTCATTGAAGACGACACGTCTCCAGTCTTATTGCCCGAGGTCGGCTTAAAAATCCAGTCGACACTGCCTATGATGATGGGGTCAGTGGTAAGCGTCTTAGCGGACGTCGGCTCCTCAAGCCAACTTCGGTCAGTCGTCTCCTTATGGTTTCTCTTGATGGCAAAAGGACAGTGGCGTTGAATCGATGTAGCGACGTTGTTGGTTGGCCACTCTTCTGATTGCACGAATCATTTTGTTCCTGGGACGTCCTGACCCTCCGCGACGGTATTGATCCACTGTTGCCAACACCGAGCAAACCATATCGCTCCGACCTGATACGTCTATTCGACCAACCTGCTTCTCTGAGGCTTATTATACGGCCCCTATCAAAGTCCGTCATTTACTGCCGCCGGTTACGTCTTAGAGGCATCCTAAGTCTCAATATCGTCTATCAAAGTCATCAGATTCGTTTGGATAGCCGTACGGCGCTCGTACTCAGCTTTTAAACTCTCCCAGTTGCGCAAAAATGCGCATAGCACAGTTTAGCCTTGTCATCGAAATTTTAATCATTTGCATATCTCTTACCAGACTACATTCTTGCGAGTTTCGTGATTGTAGCTTGATTTCTTCTGGGTGCATATATTTTTTTGCGACAGAGTGTATATATATATATAGGGAGAGTGTGAACTATAATAATAGGAATTGAGAGAAAAATAATGCATATTTTTCTGAAATCTAAAAATGTATAACACTTATATGTTAGTTGATGAAATAACCTTAAAATATGAAAAAAATAATTGACAAAAATGTAAACACACGTTTAGAAATGTTTAGTTTTTTCACTTTTTCTTCAAAGCATACTTTTTTGCTTTTAGGTACATTTTTCAGAAAAACAATTGCACTGTAGGGTTCCAAATTTTTTATATTTCTGTAAAGGATACCTGTGCATATAGTGAATTTATTTTTTTAGTCGAAGTAATACACAGTTTTTAAAAAAATAGTTTTATGTATAAAAATAGCGAGGAGGGGGAGAATAGAAATTTTCAAAATTACAAAGTTTTATAATTTTTTTTAAAGAAACTATCTTAATATTTTACTAAAAAAATAGGTTCACTCTATTTTGTGTATTGTTTTATATATGTGCAAAAAATATTTTACATATTTAAGACACACTTTTTTTAAAAAAATGGTACCTATATATAAACATGTGCATGTATTATGAGATCTCAAAAATAATGTCCAGCTTCAATTAAAAAGAAAAAAAAATTAACTAAGAAATTAATTTGTATTTCTATTGAGAATGATTAAGAAATCTTTATTAAGATCACAAAACAAATCTAAGCTCTATATTGAAAATTTTTAAAGATATACCGGGAAATCCAGCGTATATAACTCACACTTTTAACAACCACCCAAAAAAATAGATCAAAATTTACAGATGCGCATTATACGCCGGGTATGAAAATGAGAGCTTTAACTACGAAAAAAAGATCAGCATAAAAAAATTGAGATTTCTATATATCGAAATATTGTTCATTTAAAAAATATGACATGCCTTATGAACTTGAAGAGTTTAGTTCTAGAAATATACTAATTTTTTCTAATGCTTGGAGTAATACCTCGAATCAATGATTTCAAAACGTAAGAGTATTGCTCATGTACATTTCAGGTTTCTTCGTAAAAGAGAGAGTGCGCGTTATACGGTGAATATACTTAAAAGTTAAAAAAAATTGCAGCTTCAAAGTATAGGTACACGTTATACGCCGTATTTTATGGTATATCCCATAAGCAAAGCCTCCTTTTTCGCATTTTACTCTTCCCAGCATGTCCTGGTATCCTTAAGGTTAGCCGTAAAGAAAATCAAAATTCATAGAAAAGTAGGTTTATTTCGAATAATACGTTATAATATATATATATATATTTAAACAAAAAATTAATATGTACATCCAGACAATTGACATCTCTTCTCTGCTACTATCTTTCCTGTTTCGGGAGAAATTTTGATATATTATTGTGTGCCAATATATTGACTGGGCCGCAAAAGTGCTCGTTGTGGGCCGCATGCAGCTCGCCGGACAGTTTGAAACACCTGCTTTAATGTATGCATTGTTCGATAAAAGCCGGCAAAAAAAAAATCTTATATATATTTTTTAAGAAAACCCATTTTAGAACAGGAGTACTTAACTTTTTTTTCTGCTGGGCCGCATAGCTAGCTATTTCACGCGGGCTGGATACGTATGATAGCTATTTCTTGCAGCCACAACATGAGGAAAAATGGGGGGGAAGAAATGCTTTTTAAAACCAAGATAATATTGGAAATTTAAAATGTGGAAAATATATTGATCAAAATGTTACAACTCCTGGCTTGCTTTTTTTTTATAATTTTGATTTTTTATAACTTTTTTACTAACACTAAATTAGAAGCATGCAAGAAACACTCCTTCGCAATTTCTGCATCAGTAAACGGTTTCATATAATAGCCTATAATATAACAAACTTCATAGGATATGTCTTTGTTACCATTGAGAAAACACTTCGTTTCTGTTGCAAACATTATTCAAGGAAGCCTATTGATCACTTCTTGAAAGAGATCTTCGAGGAAAAGTGTCATTGTATGATTTCTGTTTATTGGTATTTTTTTAAATACAGCACTTTTGTGACAAAAGCAAACAATTACTGATCCATATTTGATTTTCATTACAAATAGTCAACCTCAAAATCGTCTTGAAACGATCTATTTCCTTCGAATATTTTTCGATTGCAAGATATAAAGATAGTTAAAAATTAGTTCCACTCATAAAATGGTCGCTACTATACTGTTGTCTGTTATCGCTAACCACAACCGTTCCAAATAGAAAAAGAATATCAATTCGTACCCATACGACACCGACAGCAAAAAGCAAAATTGATGTATTTGATTTCTTGACAAAGAATTTCCCACCAAATTTTTTATACAATATTCTTAAATAATTGAATTTCTCAAAGCAATGGGCCTTGAGTGGACCACTTAAAAAGGCTCGATGGGCCGCAGGTTGAGTAGCGCTGTTTAAGAACCTTGTTTTAGCAAACATGAAAAAAAATCACAGAATCAATCAAATTTTTTGATTAATTGAGGATTTCGATACATATTACAGAGCCGAATGTTGTAATCTTCTTCGTACACATAAACATTTATTAGCATTCTTTTCGAACTGCTGTGTTTCGGAAAAACCTCTTATTTTTATCAGTAAACATATTTATTTATAATTTTTCAACAAGAATAACAATAACAGCAGTATTTATTTTTTAAAAATTACTCACGATTTTCTTCTGTGTGATATTTCTGGAAGCAACATGCAGCACGTAGCCCAACATTGCAGTTATTACACATGTAACGATCTTCTTTGCTTTTCCTTTTCTGCCCCTTTAAGCACAATACGTAGAGCAGGAGAAATGACTATTTATACGCAGGGACGTCTTAAGACTTCTTGAAACCCTGGGCCCCCAAGCAAAATTTAGCCCTGTGCCCCTAGTCAAATATAGGCTCCATCCATGACCCTTAAAAGTAGACAAATTGTCAAATACTTGCACAAATAATAACCCGATACAAATTAATGCGCATTATTTACAATCGCTCAAACTGGCTAGACCGACTGCCGCTTTTTGGCTGAATTAATAATGAGGGTGTATCAGTGGCGCACCTAGGGGGAGGGTCCTCGGGTCCCCCGCATAGCCTTTTTTTCGATTGATTATAATCCCATGTATATAGTACGCAAAATTTAATTGAGTAGTTGTTAATAATAATTAATTTTATTAATTAATGCTAATTATATATTTATTCAATAATTAGAATTAATTATAAATTAATTAATTTTTTATTGTTTTTATTCTCTAAAACCGACAAAATCAAAACAATATGTTGCATGTTAAAATGGAGCATGATACGAGAATGGTTAATTTTCGACTCTGGACTTCCCCTTGAAAAATTCCAGTGTGCGCCACTGTGGTGTATGGAGGTAGGTCTAGGCCTATACGTGGATGACAGTTATCACATGTAGCCAGTTGACATAACGTCCGAAATTCCTAATTTTATGGAGAATACAAATGGAAATAGCATTTGATCGTTGAAATTATTGTAATCATGATCTTCTTAAGTCTGAGGTCGAGAACAAGAAGAGGCTCTGGGCCTTGGCC